TGATGATGACGATAATGAGGGAGAAACTTCGCAATCTGAAACTTTTATCGGAACGTTTAAAATATTTGGAAACTCTGATAGACAAATTTGAAAACGATATAACGATAATGAACAATCATACAACACGCAAATAGATGATTAAACCGAAAAATGAATTAATTTCAGCGAAATTTTCCAAAAAAAAACCTGTGCAAACAAATCGATCAAACAGCCGAAAGTTTGATTTCATTCATAAACAATTCTCAAAAAAAACAACCTTTTTTGGCAGTCGTTTTCTTCTCTGAACTACCATTAGTTTTAGAACCAAATGCAAACGAAGATGGTGCGTCGGCTAACTGATGATCGCTTGAACCATAAATACGATCCAAGTTTTCCACATGTTTAAGGTAGTCTTGAATTGTTGGCGACTGAATTTATTTTACAAATTACTATCACCCGTACTTTTGGTGTTATTACATAGAATTATTTCGTAAAAAACTCAACAATTTATCACGTCACACACAGAATAACCACTAGTCGTTAATCATCTCTGTGCTGCTTAATTTTCTACGTTCCTCCCAAAGCACCAAATCAAAAATTCACCAAATCAGCATCGGGTATTTCCCTCACGTGATCCTCTAAAACCTCCAAGAATGTTCGATTCAGTAACGCCATTTTCTCCAGGAATAATTTGCTGTATGTTGACGTAAAATCTGTGTTAATTTGATTGCCATCAACCATCTTCCTGAAAAATTAAACAATTTGAACACACCTTATAAAATGAATTTACGAATAATAAATCGAGTCCAAACTGATGATACTGATGAGTTTATACAATAAATTCTTGGGTCGCTAATGAAAAAAGGGCCTCTGAGCAACCCTAACCCCTGGTAAGGCTTACAGTAACGTTTACATCGGTGACCGTTACCGAACAAAAAATTAGTTCCGTTAAGATTTCTTCTAAACATCGGTAATTACCGCATAATCGAAAACTGCCAAAACCGGAACAAGTTAACACCACAGCTCGGTTTTTTAGAAAAATGAATCGTTTTCAGCAGCTTGACAAAATTCAAAAAGCGGAGAAACGGCAAAGCAGATCGGTCAGTATGTGAATGGATCCGTCGCACTTCGCCACAAGAATGCCTCAGAGCGCAGGGGTGGAGTCAGCGGAGAGCATGCGCAATGATAGGTCAGCGTATGATTAAGCACTTAAATCATCAAGATTTTAGCAATGATATGTCGGAAAAGGACCGTTTTAGAGGATGATGCGCTGCAGAATGATTGGAAAAATTACAACCATCTTATAGGAAATAAAATTCTCTATCATGTGAACTATTTTGTTTTGAAAGATGAGGTCTCAAAGTAGAAAACGTTAGGAAAAAATGAAAGTCACATTTATCTAGTACTCAATTTAAGTATTAAAAAAAGAGATTCGAGCAGAATGACTATACACATCTTGTAGTATGACTCTGATACTGCTAAAGTAATGTACATGTTGATCAGTAGAGATATACTGTATCGAAATGAACACCGCGGAGCTAGCAGAGATGCCCTCAGAAAATCAGCAACTTGAGTAAACAGGTATTCTGAAAATGGTACACGTGATATTGGAACTGTACCATTGATCATGCCACAGAGATAAAATGTGCAGAGTTTGGTAGCATTGTAGAATGGTTCAAGTAACTTGAAATACCTTCAGAAAATCAGTTATATCTCTTGAATCTAAGCAAGATCTCTCGAAAATAGGCGTACTGTTCTGAAAGCTGAGATTTTGCTAACTCCGGTGGTACCAAGAAACAATGGGCTAAGCTGAGGATACAGCTAGTTCGGAAATGGTACTTATAACAAATCTACAGTCATGAAATCGTTCAGCTACGTGATATGCTTAGCTTAAATGAAATGTATCTAATGGAAGAATGCAAAATCGCTGGACAAAATACATATTTTTCTGAAATTAGAGAATCTCCAGACACCCATTCTATTGGGTCTTCAAATTTCATAGTTATTTTATCTATGAAATGTATCTAATGGAAGATTGTTTAAAATTGTTTAAATCCACAATAATTTATTTTGTATAATTGCAATTGAAATTGACCATAAGCATGTTATTTTATCATTTTTAGTCTATGCTACAGACTGATGAATTGCATGGTGAATTGCATTGCATGAAGCGCTGATGAATTGCATGGTCACGTCGCATTTGGAGTGAGTGATGTGACTTTCCAACGAACGATTTCAGTATGGCCAACGAACGATTTCAGTCTGCTGTGAAAGCCTTTTATTTTTAAACAATTTTTTTTCTGTAGAATTATTTAGAATTACTTTCTTTAGAACCATCAAATTTCGAAGTTTTCTGCGACTATTGTGTTATGTTTTATTCCAGTGAAGTGTGCTGCAAATTTTTCCAGAAATGCGGTCGTCTATATCTCAGAATCTTCCATGGTATTTATAAATATATCGTTGCTTCGAAAAACTACTACTATTATTATTACACTAAGACATAATGTTTCATGAAATTATCCATTTGTTGATCGTTGTGTAATATAAAGAATTGTTTGCAATGTTTCGTCGAATGAATATTA